TGTATACTACATACATTTAATGTAAATCTGTCGAAATAGAACAATAACGCCTGTAAAGAAAAGAATTCGTATTTTATTTATAATTAGAGATTGCCTATTTCATGCATCTACGACAAAACTAGGTTAAATACAAAAAAAATTATTAAAAGAGTGTAGAGATATTGTTACATTATTTTCAACTTATTACAACTATAAAAAGAAAGAAAGACATTTTTATCTGACTGATTCACGATTCATTTAAACAATTTTCATTTTACACGAAGATCCCTAGTCTAATTATAATTATTACATACATTCTGTGAAATATGGATCCGATTTTGAATCATTAAATAATTGTCATGATTAAACTCCTTCGACACTCGGACGACGGAGTTTGGGTCCAATTAGACCCATAGCATAAATATTGTTATTTGTCTATCTAGTTTCTGACAATTAATTAACGTGAAAAACTAACGTGTGTGCAAGTAGCAGCTTAACAAATATGTCGAACAAAATTGATAATAATAATAGTAATATATATACATAATTGATATATAATAAAATAATATATATAATTAACATATATTATAATAATATATATAATTTTATTATAATAATATATTATAATTTTATTATAATAATATATATAATTGATAATAATAATACAAAATTGATAATTCTCGGTTAAATTAAAACGATTCACCGTTCGAGCATTAATTACAATATTCTGGCGTTCCATTATCTAATGATTGTATTATTCAGATACATCATCGCCTAGCAAAAGACTTGAATAAAATCTCTGCTGTATTCGAACCGTTGATAATGAAAAAAATTGTTAACTTAAGTCGATCGAACTATTCAGCTATTTCAAGTAAGCAGCTATTGAAATAAAAGAAAAATCGTATGTTTAGCAAACATGGAAATAAATAATTTTTGAACATTCGGCGGCTTACAGACCATCCATGCCCAATGAAATGCCAAACGAAACTCGACGCCGCCGTTTCTCGGAATCGCGCTTTCGAAGTTTCCGCGTGTGAACTGTCTAAAAAACGATTCGGTATTACGAAATTAACCTCTTGATATACCATTTTCTTCGTAGTTACTGTGATTAGAAATTTTTCAATTGCAATCATTTCATAGAAAGGAAAGAAAATTGATACTTATTGTGTGCCCAAATTTACTTGAATGCTTAAATATTCATAAAAAGAGATTAGAATTTTATTCCAGTTTTAAAAGAAAGAATAACATTTACACTCAATTAGTAATTACTAGAAATTTTCATGACGAGTCGGACTCGTCAAAGTACGGCAATGGGATTATACCTTTGAACCGTCGTAAACGTCGAAATTTGACGGAAGACTGGAATCTTTATGTTTCGCACGGCGTCATCTTAAATGGCCCGAATTCATTAAAGAACCCTTAATCTCGCCAATGACGGAGACGTTCGCAGATGTTCGTTATCACAGAGCTTAAACGTTCGCCGAAAATTGGCGGTACTTTTCTTGAATATCAAGCAGCGGATACTGGACACCGGCTTGCTTGTTCCGCCGTGCTCCGCGACTATCCATTGGAAATATGTAAATGTCGAATTAATGCGCGCTAAAATGATTTATCCGACCTTCAATTAGCGGTGCGCTGACAATGCGGGCGCGCACCGTTCGTCTCGCGGGACACGCATAATACGACATTGTCGCGCGTTTCTGTTTTGTTTTTCGTGGCTTTTTTTTCTTGTTCTTTTGCCTCCTCGACGGCACACTGCCGCGTATCCTGACGATTTTTCTCGGATCGCGCGCACCTGTTTGCAGTCGGAACGCATTCCTAATTATTCACGGAGTCCGAGCAACATCTTTGCAAGAGAATCGACCGAATGCGACACGCGCTCGCAGATGTAATTTGAAAACTGGTTTCGCTTTGTTCCTGGCAGATCATTTTCGGCTTCGTTACGTGTCAAGGACTAAACGGTTGTAATTGCTCGACGGATCGTTCGAGTCTTCTGTGCAAGCGGAATGCGTTGCTTTCATTCTTCGCGAAACTCGGCCATTTTTCCGAGTTCTCTGCCGTCTCGTGTTCCCCTAAATTGAATCTAATTGAGAAATAAAGTATCTAATTGAGAAGTAAAGTATCTAATTTAGAAATTTTTATAGGCAAGAATTGACAGCCGATTTTTTGTCGTATCGGAAACAGTAAACCGTGAACATTTAACAGTTAACAGCAAACCTTCCGTGCGTTTTCGAGCGTAATATTATTACATTTATCGAATAAGATATGTTCAATATTTTTATCCTTTTATAAAATATAAATATAAAAATTTCATCGGCGAGGCGCCGCTAAGAAAACATGGTGGAATTAGAAATGGGTGATTCCGGTAAGAAAAATCGATATCCGGGAATCGATTCTTGTAAGACATCGATATATCGGAATCGATTATTTCTAAAAAGAATCTAAGACTCGAAGACAAGAATTATTAGGAATAATACCGCAATGTGAGAGAAAAACGCGTGAGATAAAAAGCTTTACAATTATACAGCAAATTACAAGTATATTATTTATACTATACTATTATAGTATATTATTTTACTATACTATTATAGTATATTATTTATACTATACTATTATAGTATATTATTTTACTATACTATTATAGTATATTATTTATACTATACTATTATAGTATATTATTTTACTATACTATTATAGTATATTATTTATACTATACTATTATAGTATATTATTATAGTAGTATAGTAGTATAGTATATTATTTATACTATACCGATACTATTACAAGTATACAGCAAATGGTTAATTACACTAATATTAATAAACTATTAAATATTTATAATATCCTAACTTGGCACTAGTAATTGCTTGAAATGAGCTTGTAAACGAACCCATTATAAAATGATTAATATCGCACTTATAACGTGTAAATTAACTATCAAAAATGATTGTATCCTAGACATGTTCGTGTCTCGTATTTAATTTCAGAACTATTTCTGGCCTCGTAGATAGCCTTCGAAATGAATTTAAAAAATACAGGTCACAATTTGTCTCCAAAATCCACGTTCTAAATTGAGCGTCGAAAACTATCACATCCCAGAATCATTGGAAATTCAAATTTGGTTTCAGAACAATTTCCAATCTCGAATTGTCTGCAAAACTAATTTCAAAAATACGTGTCACATGTTCGCCGAAGGATCCATATTTCAACGCTAAATTTACGGAGCACTAGAAGCAGCTGTTTTATATTAGTTCGTAAAATTAACAATAAGACATCCATCGTGATCTTTAACGTTTGTTGCAATATCTGCCGTAAGCAACACATGTACTGAACAAATAACTCAAATGTTTACAATCCGAACAATCGTGAATTAAAAAGTCCCGCAAACTTAACCCTTTGCGGACGAGAGGCGACAGTCGGTGTTTATGTTACATTTTATTATCTCTAACATCATTCAACGTACTGTTTTATGAGAAAGTCCCTGAAGTGGTGGCGCAAATTATTTTTCCGTGGACTGGAAATTTGTTTAATCAATTCGTACATTCTCTACATACATGTAAAAAGGCAGAGGAACGAACAGCCAGTTACACATTTGAACTTTCGCAAAATTTTGATCAACAAATTGCGAGGAGATTTTCGTCAACCACGAGATAGATCCTCAAGTTCGATGGCCAACTCTGACGAAATTCGTCTAAACGGAAAACTGCGTGTAATTGCACAAAGAAAGTTTGCAAAGTTTGTTCCAGTCGAAACAAACCAGAGGGAAGACATGAGACAACCTATTTCTACGATACATGTCCAGATAAACCAAGAATGCATCTTGGTCAATGTTTCATAAACTATCACACCAAACGAAACTACAAATCATAATTTTTGTAAAATTATATTCATAAAAGTGTGAATATAGATAAACTAACGAAATATAACGTTTTGTAAGATCACTTTATTGTACCATACAAGACACTCGACATATTTGCAAAAATCACCTCGTCCTGCTACCTGACTCTGCCGAAAAAGCCGTCGTCCGCTAAGGGTTAATGATAAATTCCGTATCGGACATAAGCACGCCCCGAAAACTTTTGTACCTCGTATTTGGTTTCCGAGTAATTTTCGATCTCGCGTTAACATCGGAATGAAATTAAAAAAACGCCTGGTCGCCCGAAAGTCTCCTTATAAGAACGACGAAATTGTAAATCGAGTAGCGTTTCACGCAACCGGTCTAATTTCCATCATTGTGTACACGTAATTATCCGTTGACCCGTTTTCGCAGCCAATTATTTTCACCCGTAAACGCAGGATACGAGATGAATTGTCCGCCGATGGTGGACGGCTGCGAAATAAGCGTATTACCGCGTCACACGCTATTATCGGGCGCGTCAGCAAACGATGAAAAGGATTACTCGCCGGCGGCGCCGATTTAACGTGTGTCACCTGCGGGAGTAAACTTCCGACCGAGCCAATTTCCGGTGCGCGTTGTAACACGCGCGCTGATTCTTTTGTTGCTCGATCACGGAACGCCGGGGATCGCGCGTCGAAAACGCGTTCCCGCAGCCGTGCCGCGTCGTCCTCGTAATGATTTTTAAACTGGAACACAATCTTGCGAACGTGTTTGTTGTGAACGACTGAAATCAAGGTGTCGGTTGAACAATTCGCGACACACGGTTGTTCGCTGAAATATTTGGACCCTTTT